AAACCCATGTTCTTGCTCAAGCAATGAACTGCTGAAGCCTTTTGCTGTCATGCTGACTCAGATCTCAGCAAATACTATTACTACTACTAATACTAATCCTAATACTGAATAATACTAATACTAATACTAATGCTAATACTAATACAAATACAAATACTAGTACTAATACTAATACTAGTACTAGTACTAATATTAATATATTAATACAAGTATCAATAGTAATACGAATGCGAATACGAATACTAATATCAATACTAATACTATCACCATTCCTGGGGACCCCTCAAAAGATTTTAATTCAGGATCCAAAAACTGCTTGGGGGGGAGGGGGAGGGGGGCTGGACACACTAAAGCGGGTCCAACATTACCCTAAACCCTAAACCCTGAACCCTGGACACTCGACGCACTTCGCTTTGCTCTGGAGGCCTGGCAGCGGGTACCCTGGCAGATCCCAATGGACCGCGCTTCCTCAGCCAGTGACGGCTCCCGTTTTTCAGGCCGGGACTGCGGGTACCTGGCGGTTTCCCAAAACTAGGGGTGCCTTTTTAACGGGGTTCCTATGATAAGGACTAGAGTTTATTGAGCTCGATGTTGGGGTCCCCATTTTTTGGAAACTGCAACTTCAAAGTATCACCAGCTCTACAGAAGAGGAACAAGGTGAGTGTGGTAGGAGTTCTGTAGCCATGATTTGGCTTGGTTTTTCCAGAACAGTAGAGTTGGCATCCTATCATGACAGATATTCTTCCATCATTTTTGACATAATTGCATCTTCGTCAGATGTTCTTACAAAATCTGTGTGCCTCTCTCCCTCTTGAACAGCATTGTTAGTGGACAACTTTCTTTGGACAGTGATGCAGGTACGGGAGCACGCGCTGGAATGCTGAGCATGAGCAGCCTGAACAGCAGTTTGCAGAGCTGCCCGAATTTTTGGAGGCAGACGAGCGCTGATTGTTTGACCTCTGTTTTACTGCCGTGCGATGTAGCTGGCAAGGCACAAGTGCAGATTTGAGTTCAGGTACGTACAGCAACATGAGGGATTTGAAAATCATGTCCCTCAACTCATGTTCCGCACGGTTTGGTGGTGTGAGTGAGGCTGTGCAAGATGCCATTACGAAGAGGAGTTTGGTTCCTACCGCTCCTCTGCACATGTGCCGCTGTATAGTACTGACTGACCTGGTTCTGTCAATCTTGCATCCACGGCGTCTAGAGCATAGATCTGTGAGTTTACTGGCTGCATCGAGCCCTGACCCTGCGCCGGGCGTGGCGTCTCATCAAATGGTCTGCCTTCAAAAGAAATGGCATGACCGTCACAGCCGGATGAGCTGCGAGGGGCCTGCTGCCCCTTTCGAGCACTTTGGAAGGAGGATCAGCACAATTACCCCTGCGATGTCCATTTCTCACCTCCATGAGTTCTTGGTTAGATTTCCAAACGGAGCCGATTTCTTAAGTCTTTGCACGGTGTGAATTTGTGGGTGCTCGGTGCCGGTGTGTGGCCGCGTTGCCTGCAACAGGCTCCATGATGTGGCTGGCAGAGGATGTCATTGTAGAGAGCAGGCATATCCTTTAGGCCCATTTGTAGCCAGGTCGTATTTTCGTAAACTTCAAGCCGGCAGACATGTATGGGTACAAATAGTAGCCATAATAGTGTCAATAGCAATATAAGTAGCAACAGGATTATAAGTAGTAGTAGTAGTAGTAGTAGTAGTAGTACAAGTAATAACAATTGCAGTGCTAGTAGTAACAATAGCAATAATAGTAATGATAGCAATAATAATAGCAGTAATAATAGCAATAACAATATCCTGACAAGATGGGCCTGTGGGATTGGTGGCCCCAGGGCAGCACGTGTTTTCTGTGTGTCAGAGAACCTGGGCGTCGAATTCAACTTTATGACAGACTTGCCGCTTGGGCGAAACAGCGTGCCAGAACAGCTTTGCAACAACTCTGCGAATTGAGGGCAAGCAGCCAAACTGAAAACATTGCAATAAAGTCCATGACTGGCCGGGTTCTAGAAACAGCTGTGAAGGCAGCAGCCGCCCTTTAAAACCATTCGGATGGCTAGCAGATATTCGTGAATTGCGCACTTGGCGCAATGTCGTTGCCGGAAAGACGAGAAGTTCATTCTGTAGAAGACTGAGCAATGAGTAGTTATGAGTAGTACACTGAATAACTTGTATAGAAGTTTAGCTTGAGGAGGACCTGCAAAGCCTATTCTAATTCTTAAGGCTCGAAATTCAAAAAGCGTTAATACCCTAAGCCCAAGGAGCCCAAACCCGGAGGCCAAACCCTGATGCCCCTGAAGCCCCGCCTCAGAGGACCCCTCCTGGCAGCGCCGGCCTGGTAGCGGCAGCCTTCATGCCGCACTTTGCCCGCCCGAGGTGCCTGGGGTGGCAAAGCAGTAGTCGAAGAAGCAGTCTCAGTAGCTGTAGCAGCAATACCAGCAGCAGCGGCAGCAGGAGCAGGAGCAGGAGGAGCAGCACGAGCAGCAGGAAGGAAGTAACTAGTGACTAATTAGTTCCTTAGTAGTAAGTAGTAAGCAGTAGAAACAATTTGACAGAAATCCGTTAATCATTAAGTTTCAGGATTCGGGGTTTCGGCTTCAAACTTTACTGTTCGGGTATTCAATAGTTTTTGCCTGGAGGTCTTAGGTCCATAGTTCGTACAGGGTTTTGAGGGTTTGGGGGTTGAGGATATGTTATAATATAGGGCCCCACTTAAGCCTTGACCAAAATGACGCAATCCAAAATGACTTATAGTCTAAACTCCTAGTATCCCCCTTAAGAAGCCCTATAGTGCTCCCATTCTCTACATGACCCCCTTTAAGAGGTTTAGACTATGGCTCAAGTAAGGTGTTTTTAAGCTTTGCTCAGGTTTCGTTCAGCATAGGAACCTGGAGTCTAGGTGGGTTTAGGGTTTAGGGTTACTATAACTATAACTTTTTTGTATTCATTATTACTGCTATTATTTTGTTTCTTATCATTTGTATGTATGATTCCTATTAGATCTAGATGTTTGGGGTCTGGGGTGTCGGGGTTTGGAGGCTGCAAGCATGGTCTGAGTGTGCTGATTTGTGCGAAGTTCCCCGGCATGAAATATGTTGTTGGCTGGCGGACCTTTGGGCTTTTCTAAAAAAGTGCCTAAGCCCTAATCACCTGGCTACTGAGCCCAGTAGACCTGGTCTTCTTCATTTCTAAAGTGAGACCTAAAATTGCTTGGGCTGCCTTTTCACGCAGGGACCCTAATCTGTTTTCTGGCGTGTCTAGTACACCAATCAAGATACAGAATTGCACCTTCGCAGAAATAGACAATCGGATCATCAGTTCATGCTTGGGCAAAGGTGCTTCATGCTGTTGCTATACAGTCATAGATGAAAACAACCTCTACGCGCCTCCAGAACATCAAAAAATGGAACGTGTAGAGCCCTGACCCTACCCTAACATGGAACTCGAAACAATGTCTCGGAAGGACTCATGTTGTCATGTCAGTTACACAAGCTGTAGATGGTACTACATGTTAGTTTGGGGGAGCATATACTCTAAGCCTGAAATCCTAAAAGCTATATCTCCCTAGATATATACATACATATATCACCACCCACTGATCCGTCCCTGTTATCCCTCCATGCAGGTACCCTAAGCCCTGACCCCTAAACCCTAAGCCCTAAATCTTAAACCCTGAACCCTAACTCCTAAAGACTAAACCTTAAACCCTGAACCCTAACTCCTAAACCTTAAACCCTGAACCCTAACTCCTAAACCGTAAATTCCTATGGAGGGTCGGAGGGTCTTCTCATGGTGGCAGAATGGCTACATTTTCAGTTTGCTCGTGGCTCAGGACCTTGGACAAGGGATCCTAATATCGGGGCCTAAATGAGTATTAGCATTATGGTACCACATTCCTTGTATATTTATAGTATATGGTACCTCAAACGGACCTCAAAGTAATATTGGTAATTATTTAGGCCTGTGTAGTAGAGGCTTTTCGTGCTCAGCGAGCTTTCCTTGATGCTCATCTTCTAAGTTTTTTCTAACTTCGCCCGGTCCTATGCGATCTTAGCTCCCGGCAGGTGGTAAACAGGGGCGTTGAAACCAAAGAACCTAAACCCTAAATGGAGGGTTTCCCAAAATTAGGGGTACAATTTGGGAGGTCCCTATCATAAGGAGTCTAGTACTGGGATCTATATTGGGGTCGCCCTATTTTGGGAAACTACCAAACCCTAAACCCTAAACCCTCAACCCTTAACCCTACACCCTTAA